ATATCGATTCGATATCGTTACGATATTATTGCGATATCGAATCGATATCGTTAGAATTTTAAGGGTTTCTGTAAAGTAATACTAAAACTGTGAAGTTATTTTACTAAGTTTTCTTATAAAACTGAAGCTACAAAGTTGTTTTACTAAGTTTTTAATAGTAAAAATTTACCTGTTATTAAACTTACTTTGTAAAAGTTATCTTTAAATTTTTTAGTGCAATTACTAATAATTTTTTTAATTAAAACTTTAGAATAATTTTATTTTACAGCTAATTTCATAATTCATGAACCATTAATAATTTTTCAATCACATTCAGTCGAAATATTTTATAGTAATTTTATTATAAAAATTTTTTAGTCACATTCAGTCGCAATTTATTAGTGTCTATGAATTATAAAATTAGCTATAATATATCATTGTAAAAATTAAAAAAATTGTTATATTTGATTTGATTTGATTTGATTTAACAAATATTTGATTTAATTTGATTTAATTTGATTCAATCAAATATTTAGATTCAATTCAATTCAATTCAATTTGAAAAAATCAAATCAAATTTAAATTACTTAAATATATTATTTAATTCGATTCTGAGGAACCCTAATCCTTTTATTTCTTTTATATTATTATATCCTAATTAGAAAATTTCATTTTTTGTTCTAATTATTTAGTTTAAATAATTATTTAAAAAAAATAATATATTATAAATGCAGAGTATTAAAAATATTTTATTATGTGAAATATCATATATAAAAATTTATCATTTGTTTAATGATTGTTAAATTCTTATTATTAAATGAAATATATTAGAATATGTTTAAAATTTTAAATAACATTTATAATAATAGATTTATTAGAGATTTATTAGAGGTTTATTCAAAATTTATTTATAATTAAATAGGATGAGTGTTACAAAAAGTGATCAAATTAAAAATTCTTAAAATTTATTTCTAAGTAAATTAAATGTATCTTATAACGATTTTTTTTTACAATTTAGTTCCTTTTTATAGCAGTTATTTTAAATTAGAATTTTTTTAAACTAAAAAAAAAATAATGTAAAATATTATTTCTAAATAAGAAATTCATTTATATAATATATTAAAAAAATATTGTAATACAAAAATTTTTTATATATTATAATACAATTTTATTTACTATTAAAAATAAAATTTATTATTATTATTATGAAATTACAATAAATATGTTAAAAAATTATTATTATTATTATAAAATTGAATTCAATCTTTATAAACTAAAACATTATTATTTCAATTCTTTTTTATTATCATTATTATTAATATTTTATTATATTTTTAAAAAGAATTTTTTTTAAATAAATTTAAATAAATTTAAACAAAAGTTAATTAAATATTAAATTTTAAATCAATATAAATGAAAATAATATTGAAATAATTTAGAAATAAATTCAAATAATAAAAGAAGATATAATAATTAAAGTTGATAGAGAAATTAGAGCATTTTTTTATTTGTCAAAATATTGAAATACTAAATTTTTGATAGATTTATATTAAATCTTATAATTACTTATGCTAAAATTATAATGAAATGCTAAAATGACAAAACTATTATAATAAATACTAAGACTAAAAAACTATAATAAAATTATATTAAACTTATTAAAATTTTATCAAACTAATTGTAGAATTTTGAAATGATTTAGATAAGCATTTTAATAATAATGATAATAATCTTAAAATAATATAGATATTTATTAATATATTGATAATAATTAAATAGATGATGATATTGATGAAAATAATAATAATAATAAAAATAGTAAATAATGAAGAAATTATATAAATTAAAGAATAAAATACTATTAGTAAAAAATTATTGAAGTTTTTAAACTTTTACATTAAAATCATTATATAATTTTATAGAAGTAGCATATGGAAGCATTGCTAGCAAAATCAAGTTATGAGATAATTTTACAATTTTGAGAAAAAGGCGATTAAAATATTTGTAAATATAACTAACCAATCAAATTTGTTACTATTTTAATCGTAAACCTGTTATAATCATGATTTAAACCTGTAATAAACCTTGTTTTAAATTACAACTCAAGTATTAATTAATCAAAGTATTGTGACACAAATTATATCAAATGGCATTTTTATTTATCCATTGCCAACAATCAACCTCTGAAGTATTGTTATACGAATTAGTACATTGCCATAAAATTTGAGCAATTTGAAAATTCAAAAGAATAATTTTTTTCTTTAACAAACGAAAATAATTTACAAACCAACTATATGCAGTTAAAAGTATGATGAGATTAACAAATATTAAATAGTATTAAATATTAATATTGTATAGATTAAAGGTAAGTTTGATATGTGAAATTTTAAACTACAAAAAAATAAGAGTAATTTTTTTTCGATATTAAAAAGAACCCAAAAATTCATTTCTTTATATTGCTTATCTCCTTTCTTTTCTAACTTGGTTTTAAGTTTGTTAATCTGTCATTGTTCAGCTTCATGAAGAACTTAATGAATCAAAAATAAATTTACAAGACAAACTTTCTAGAGAGTTGATGATATGGAATGATGTTAAGAATTATCTATTGGCTGAATATATAGCTTATTATTGCAATTCACTGATAACAATGGTGATGAATAGATAATTTTTGGTGAAGAGAAACTGAAAAATCAATCGATATGTGATCAATGGATCAATGGCATTGATATTCTGTAAATTGCTTTGTTGCATATTATTAAACTATTTCTTTTTATTTTACAAATTCATTATAGACAACGGGAATAATTGGTTCAAGTAATTTATTACAATCAAAATGCAATTGAAAAAAATTTACAAAAAAATGGTAAATTTACACAGAGGAGGGTTTCCTTTTACACTTTTACAGAGTCTAACAACAAATCAATAATAGTAACATGTACTTTACATAAATCTTCATCCGCTATAAATCTACAACAATCATATGAAAATAATAGTGTACCACTGAAACTTAGCCGAAGACTTTCGGCTGTTCGTCATTACAAAAACTGGTAAATTTACATGAAGGATCTTTATATAAATATTCGTCCACCTTAAATATATAACAATCATATGAATTGCATAAAAGTAATGACGCGCTACAGACGGTTGTCCGAAATAAGTCAGTAAATTTACATGAAGAGATTCCTTTTCGACAAATCTTAAAAAGAAATTTTCATTGTTATTTTTACGTAAATAGCAAACAAATGAAAATAACAGAACACAAAATCTCAAACGAAATCATTCTGAAATTGTTCTAATAAACAATCAAAATGAAAGACCTAATAATATGTATGAATTTCTTAAGAATGTATCTTGAGATGATGAGTCTGTTGAAGATGGTGATGAAAATGAAGAAGAATGTTCTGAAGATGCGTTATATTACGAAGAATCGCAAAAAATTATAGAAAATAATGGTACCAATTACATAAAAAGCGACAAAACTGATGAAACTGAGTATTGGCTTTAGAAGTTGGTTATTTCAGACGGGATGTTTTTATTAATTTAAATCTTTTTAATTATATCATGATTAGATTGTTGAATACTCATTAAATTAAATTTTCTTAGGATCGAGATTTAGAAACATTACCTGAAAACACAGATGTATGGATGTCTAAAGTTGAATGTAAACGTATACACAATCATCTCCATGAGGCCATTCGTAAAGAAATTATCATTGATCTTACAGATCTATCTCCCATCACTTTCAGGCACTCCTTGTATAAATATACTTTTAGGTCTCACCACAAAAGTCCAACCCAAGGTACACCTAAGCAATTTATCGAGAAAGTGTTTTAACTGTATTTCCTTTGATTTTCTTGGTTTTCCAAAATTTACCTTTCACTTTCCAAAAGTTTCTCGTGTTTTTTTCTTTCAGCTTCGCTAATTTTAGTTCTAATTTTTTCAGTTCTTCCTCTTGCTCCTGTTTTCTTTTTTGAGTAGCTAGTTGTTGAGCATTTTTTTGGCGTTCGTAGTTTCTTTCTTGTTTTAATAATTTGCTGGCGTTGATCTTGGTCTTCGAGGGCAATTGATTCTAACCTTTTTCTAGTTTTTTCTTCTAATAATTTGGCTTATTTTTGTAAGCGTTCTTATTCCAGTTTATTTTGAGCTTTTAGGGTTTGAGTGTTAATTGATATCTGGCAATTTCTTGTTGGATTTGTTCTTTTAGCACACTGCAAAAAAAAAGAAATTGAAGACATTAATGATGAAAGTCATTGACAAATTCTAGAAAATTGATGTTATTGGATTAATGATAAGTGGAGCTGCAAAATATCAATCTTTAATTCGTTCTGTTGCATAATTGAATAATTTAATTTTTCTTTATTAAAATAAAAATTGAGAATTTTTTTTGCTTTAATTATGTATAATGACATCATAACGTGAATCACGTTAATTTTAATTTTTTATTTTAGGATTAAATATAATAACATTCTATCATTAATAATAATAAAAAATGTGTCACTAATTTTTTCTGATTGTCAATCCTTCCTTAATCTGACTTCCATTTTATAATTTCAGGTTTTTTTTTTGTTTTTTTTCTTATTGTTATCGAATAACCTGTCAAATGAAACAATAAAATAACCAATAAATATTAAATTTATTTGATAATGGGAAAGATTTAATTAATTTCATTATACAACATAATTTTTCATTAAGATCTACGTATGACATTATATCGTTTTTATATGCAATTTAACTAATCTTACAGCTAATACCAAATATGAAATAAAAATACCAATTAAAAATTAAGTTATATTAAACCTAGAATTATTAACGAAATAATTAAAAGTTTTTGAACATAACATTGATTATCATTGTGATTACATTTTATATGCCTATTTAAATTTATCACAAAAGATTTTTTTTAAAAAAAATAATTTTAAATTTAAATTTAAATTTTTTTTTTTTACAATTTATTAAAATATCATTAATATGAAAGCAACTTCAATAATGCGTTATAATTTATCTAGTCTTGGTCTAGATGAATATGCTGAAATGAACTAGTTTTCATTATAGTTCATAATTTAAAAGAATTATTTAATAAAAAATTGTAATTGTCGACAAAACTCAAAAAGTAAAAAAAATCCACATACCTACTATGAAAAAGTAGGATTTAAAAAATTTTTTGAAAGATACATTGAGATTCGTTCTTTAGATAAAATGCAGTTGGACTTATTTTTAAAAGCATAACTTATGTATTTTGAAATGACTAATGAAAAAACTGAAAATCCCCAAAGAGTATCATACAAATATAATTTTAACAATTCTCTTTCTCTCTGCAAACCTGCCTATCTAATATTAATTGGAAAATCTGAATATTATTTATCAACAATATAAAAACATTTACATGAAAATGGTTTAATAGAGCGTACTTATGGTAATACTGGTTGTGTACTTATACTTCTATCACGTGCTTATATCAATATAGATGTTTCTTCCTCAGTAAAAAATTATTTGTTACAATATAGTAACATTCATGGTTTACCATCACCCATGCGTCATCAGAATGATTCAGAAGTATTTGTTTATTTATCAACCGACAAAACATACAAGTCTATCTATGAAGAATATATAAAAAATATTCAAGATCACAAAGGTATTTCTTATAGTGTTTTCATCAAATTTTGGCATGAACTAGTACCACATATAAAATTTCAACCATCAGCAAGCGACTTATGTGAAACCTGTGAACATTTTAAAGCTGAATTAAAAATAACAAAACATGATATAAATGAATTCAATAATATTAAAATTCAATATGATACACATTGTAAAGCAGCAAATCTAGAATGAGAACACTATAATAAAAATATTAATGAAAGTAAATTTGATAAGTTTATAGCACATATTTGTTACGATTGGACACAAAATGTGTCAATACTATATTCACCACAACAAATTGGTAGTATGTATTTTAAAAATACATTTTCTATTCATATCTTTGGTGTATGTAAAACTGAAGAAGGTCAAAATTATCAATTGAATTTTTTAATTGCAGAAGATGAATTTCCTAAAGGTACAGTAAAAGGGTCTAATACCACTTTAAATATGGTATATAATGCTCTTCAAAAATTTGCTCATATAGGAAAAAAATATTTAAGAATTACCTATGACAACTGTGCAGCCCAAAATAAAAATAATTTATCTTTATAGTTTTGGGTATGGTTAGTTATGTTAGGATGGTATAACGAGATTATTGTAAATTTTATGATTCTAGGTTACACAAAATTTATTTGCAATGCATTTTTTGGACATATAAAAAAAGTATATAGAGACGCAAGAATCAATACTATCAATAACATTGAGAGAGTTGTAAATTGTTCTTCCAAAGGAAATGAAGCAATTTTTTATAAGAATGGATGGACTTAATACAATTTTGAAGCATTTTCTAAAGAAAATTTTGTACCACTTCCTAATATAAAAAAATATTACCGTTTTTGTTTTAGTAATCAACCTGATAATATTGGCAAAGTCTTTGCTTCAAAAAGAATCTGGAAGAGAAGAAACTCCTTTTTTACTACTTCGCAATAGCAGATTTGATAAAAATAATCAAATAGGTATTATTCCTGTTTCTTTATTAACAAATGATAGAAAAAAATATTTTTATTCAAATATTCGTAAACACGTGAACGATCCATTTAAAGATGTTCATTTTTTTTAAACCTGATATTATAATAGATAGACATTAAATTAACGAAATTTATAAAAAAAAATTTAAAAATGTGAGATAAAAAAGAATATTAAAGTGGTATAAAATACAATTAAATTATGATGCATAAAAAAAGGAAAAATATAAAAGAAATGAAAATATAAATAAAAGAAGGAAAACAGCAAAATAAGAAAGAGGAAAAACAAACGAGCGAAATAAGAAAAAAGAAAAAAAAAAGAAGGAAAGGGAAGGTTAGTATATATAAATTAATGAGGAAAAAGAAAAATATATATATAAAAAAATAGAATGAAAGAAAGAAGTTAATATAAATGAATCAATTAGATAAAAAAGAAAGGACGAAAAAAAAGAAGAAAAGAAAGAATATAAAGGAAAGATTAATACAACTGAATTAATTGGAGGAAAAAAATAAAAAAAAAGATGAACAAAAAAAATGGAAAGGATGAAAAAAGAAAAAAAGAGGTTATACAAATATGTGAATTAAAGGACAATAGAAAAAAAATGGAAAATAGAAAAGGGAATAACAAATAAAGGAACGAACCAAAAAGAAAAGATAAATGAAATGAATAGAATGGGAGAATAAAACAAAAAGAGAAAGGAAAAATTAGTAAATATCCAAAAAAAATAACAAAAAAAAACAAAGGAAAAAAATAAACCAACTTATCAATCCTGGAAATAAAAATGAAGTAAGTATCTAAAATTATTTATAATTCTATTTAAAATAAGTTTCTAATAAAATATTAATTAGAAATAGAAGAATAAACGAACGAACTATAGAAAAATAGAAAGAGAAAAACAAATGAGAGGATAAAAAATAAATCAATTTGAACTAATTAAAAGATATAAAGAAACGAACCAAAGGGAAGGAAGAGAAAATAATGAAAAAACGAATGAAATGGGAAAAGTAACGTAAACCCAAATTTGCTACTAGTTTTTTTATTTTGCAGATTTGGTAAGTAGTTCTTTCTTCTTATCATTTAGCATGGCAATCATCACAAATTTAAATTTTTGGGTCTCAACTTCGCATTTTTAACATCCAAAAATGAGAAATGAAGAATAATATTAAAAAAATAAAAAAATGAATGAGAAACAAACAAATTGGAAAGAATGGAAAGGGAAAGGGAACGAATAAATAAGTAGAATGAAAAAACAATATGAGAGGATAAAACAATAATAAAGGAATACGAAGGATGAAAAGAAGGTAAGAAAATGGAAGTAAGAAAATAAGGAACGAGTAGAATAAATAGAATGGAAATAAATATAAAGAAAAGAGATAAGTTAAAATAGGAGATAAATAAAAAAACAAAAAAGGAAACAGAGGATACTTACTTTTCAAAATAAATCGCAATATTGATGAAAAAGAAAAAGTACCTTTTAATTTTTTTTATTTAGTTGATGATGCGATTATTACATAATAATTTGTTGGTCAAATAAGATTTATATGTGACTTTAAAATGCAACTAAATCTTTTCTTATTTTAAAATAAAAGTTTGCCATGCAGTGTTGGCAGAAATCGAAAACCATTTCCAGAGTTATAGATAAAAATTTTTTAATTAATCATTAGATTTCAAATTCAGGTGATGACTCGATAAAATAGATATATTTTAAATCTATTATTAGAATTTTTATTGATAAAAATTTAAAGCTCAAGTGCTTGTTTTGGTACTATGATTTTATGGTATGATTTTTTAGTCAAATGAAGTTCATGTGTAACATTGAAATGAAATTAAATCTCAATTTTCATTGGATGGGTCTCAAAATGTGATTTTGCTAGCAATGAACCCATATAATAATATTATAAA